TGTGAACATGAGTAATGTCATCCAAGATCATTGTTCAGATATCAGAATGAAGGCAATAACTGCGCATTCAAACGACAGCTCAAGAAGCATATTTAAAAAAAAAAAAAACAGATATATCATATATATGTCTGCTAACCTGGCATGTCTAGCATACTCCTCATAATTTTCGAGCAGCATTTTGCCAGCTTGCTCTTAGAGCTGACTCTGGAAATGGTTCAATCAAGAGACACCTGACTACCTGTTAAAATAAGAATCAGCATTAATAGGAAAAGCAATAATGGATAACCATGTTTAATAAATCGTAAAATCTAAGATGGCAGTGCTCAACCAGCATGCATATTTAAACCATGAAATTTTTATGACAAGAACAATCAAATACAATAACACACTTACAATGAGAACATGTCGTAAACCAAGGGTAGGATTCCAATCCTTTTTCAATGTGTTGACACAAATCTCTCCATTGGTTGCAATGTTAGGATGGAAAATCTTAGTCAAGAAATAACCTACAATATTTTTAGATAGTTGCATCAGTCAACAATGCTTTAAAAATGACGAAAAATGGATGCAATTATTTTAGGCAGGGAAAGTGAAACAGGACTGCTGAGCAGATATATGTCCTTGCCTTAAATGAGAAACAGACTCTATGAAAAATTAAATTTCAACAAGTAGAAGAGAAAATAACAATATGTAAAGTAAAATTTATATCAAGTCGCACTATTTATAAGCTGTGAACGATGCACCACATGTACTAATTTCATACAATGCACAGAAGCCTACTTAGATTTTACGAAACACTGATTAAAAATTGCACACCATATTATAACTCACTGTCCAGAATGTCGAGCAAATCATAAAAAGGTCCATCTAAACTCACCTTTAGGTGGAGAGTGTGGAAAGTCATGAGATAGTAACAACTTCATACGGAAAACTCCATTTTCATAAGGAGTCCCAGCTGCAAGTATAATTAACTAAGGTTCAGCTTGATTTCTTCACATAATACTCGAAAATAAACTTACAAAACAAAATTCCATGCCTGGGCCATCAATGTCAGCATATATTGTTGAAAAGTCATCATCATTTACAACAACTTTAATGCCCTCAGGAGGGGAATCATCAAGATTTTTCAATTCCTTGGCCAGTTGCTTTATTACATTTGGTGGAAGATTTTCATTAGTTGCCTGAAACAAAGATACCACAAAAAAAACTTAAGGACAAGGAAAAATCAGTACTGAAACAAGCACGCCTATTATTGTGTATGAACTAGTAAGCAACACAATGCCATCATGAAGAAGGCTCCAAGTGTCATCAAATAATATTGTGTGTAATTAGCTTTACTTTAAGAATTCTTCCACATAATTTCCATTCCAATTGTACAAAATAAATTATGATAAATTAAATCAGGATAGGTCCATATCAGCCTTATTTCCAGAGAGAGCCCTCAGCTATATACAATCCAAGATATACATCTTTAAACTATCAGGCTATTGGTAGTTGTCATCCTAAACCATTGCCAACAAGCGCAGGTATATGAACAGAGATTAATTGTTGTATGCCAAGAGATACCTAATTCCAGAACAGGAGGTTAAACTACTCCTGAATAATTTTACTTGGCAAATTCATGTGTGCAAGGCCAATAATTGTAAGCCTAGATGATAGAGTTGCCAGCAACAATATCCGTACGTTAAGAGAAATATACTTACCATATCTGCACAAATGAAATTGAAGTAGATCTTTTATTCAGCTGCCAATTAACAAGGGAAGAGCCCTTTACTAACAATGCACTGGAATATCAAATTTTCAGCCCAAGGTGAAGGAAAAATCTGAGCGGTAAACGGACCTGCAAAAATATTTCTGATTAATATGAGAAATATATGGCTTGACTTCAGTTAAAAGCTGCCATGAATGAACTACCAAATGGTATGAATTGTCGTATATTTAGCATAATGGAAGAGAATATAGCAAAGACAATAAGCATTATATATATTGACGCCCCGATTTTGCATCTCAATGCCCTTAGATAATAGTGTAAAAAAAAAAAAATCACTCTTTTATTTTATTTCGCCCAAGAGCCCCAAAGAACATTTCCATCAACCCATTCAATTCAACTATCCCTCCAGACAAAATCCCCGGTAAGAACACAACCGCAAATACATTCACACGTAACCGAAACGTAAAAAGCTGCACACATCACAGAACAAATAGCTAGTAGCTTGAACAACAAGTCTGCTTCAAGTAGAAATAGAAGATAACCGGCGCCGCCGCCGCCCCTCCCAACACACACGCGCGCACATCAATTACCAATTTACCACGTAGAATTCCTCATAATCATATATAATTAGAACCAAGTAACTCGCCTGTAATTCGTAAAATCCAGACGACTCGAAAAGTCTGCAAGAACTATAAAAGCATTTTGGTGCAGGCACAATCAGACATTTTCAGAACCTGATTCATCTACCGTACATCATAGGAAGACTAAACAGGAATTTGAAAAGCATACTTGCAGATCACCAACTGGTAAAACCCTAATCCGCAACCCTATATCAAGAATCTCGACAATCCTAACTAAACAAGAAAGAAATTGCAAATACAGATTTATAAATAAAAAAATTTGCTTAGCGAAAAGGAAAAGCATAAGCACACAGAGCACGATGTTCGGGAAGAAAAAACTCGAAGGAAGCATCAAAACCTCCAATGAACTCAGAAACAGAACAATTTGCTCGCACAGTTCCACACAAGATGACGAGAATACATCACCAGAAAACCTAGATGGAAATTCTCCTTATCAGGTGCTTTCGGCTGCGAAATTGAAGCCAGAGAGATGAGGAAGCGGCCAGGGGAAAGGAAGGTGAGAGAGATTGATAAACGCAGAAGAATGTGAGAAAACGATCCGAACCCCCCTTGAATCATTGAGACGGTCGACTGGGACGAGAAATATAATATTCAATCCAGATGAAACGGAAATTCTAAAATATTTTAAATTTAAATTTAAATAAAACAACGGAAGAAAGGACAAATTATACACCACTTTTCATTATAAAGGTTTTTTGTTGCTGAGTTTTTTTATAACTAAAATTTAAAAGGGAGTTGAGTTTTAAAAATTTAAAATATGATTTTAAATTTAATAAATGTTTGTAAAAATATTTATAAATAATTCATAACAATATTTCCACAAGGGAATTGTTCACGCCACCTTATAATTTAAGAGTTAAATTTTACCAATCATATTCATCTTTATTGGTTTTATTATAAAGTTTCTAAATTAATTAATTGAAATCAAATATTTCTATTCTAATTTATAATATATTTTTAAATAAAATTATGTATATCAATTTATTAAAAAAACAACAATATAAATTTCCAAATGCTTCATTTAATATAAAGATTAGAGAGAAAATATAATAAATACAGAAAAATAATATTTCAAAATATATTTAACAAAAACTTATTTTTGTTGAGTTATCTTACATTTGAGACAATAAACTACCTCCAAAATTTTCTCATCTGCTAGGACAAAAAAATATAATATAAAATTATTTGGATTTTAAGTAAAAAAAATTGATTAACAAAATATGGTAATATTTAAATAATATTTTTTAAAATTGATTTACCAAAGAGGTAAAACTAGTTTTTGAAAATTGAGTTTCAAACACCAGGCAGAGATTGAAAAAATTTGAGAGTATTTGATTAGCTTTTATAAAATAAAGTTTGATTTAAAAAGAATTATATTTTTTATTTAAAGATGTAAGATATTTTTAATTTTTTAAAATATAATTATTATTTTTTTATAAAAGTATCCTAATTAATAAATAATTTTATATTTATTATAAAATATTTAATAAAAATAAATTTAAAAAGATAAAATTAGTTTAAAATTAAATAATTATTTTATTAAAAAATAAAATTTAATTAAAAATATTTTATATTTTGTAGTGAAAGAAATATATTTTTTATATATTTATTAATTATTTATTGATTTTTAATTTGAAATGACGTGGGGGCCAGCTTGACGCAATGGATTTATAGACGTTGGATTCTTTACGTCTACCAAGAAGATAGCTGAACCACGCGCATTAGGTGGCCGTGGACTGCACGGCCATAGCTCCGGGTTTTCAACCTTCAACTTCAACTTCAAGCATCTGGATGAACTCCTGGGTCTGCTCATGGGCTGATGGCCAAGGAGGGACAGGTACCTTTTAACGTCGTAATGATTTGAAATTGAAAGTTGTCTCGTCTTTTGCTCCTAAATCCAATATCCATTATCTGTCTTTCATTCAGGGCAAAACAACTATTCTTTGTGATCTTATTTATGGAACGTAAAGAAATAAAATTAAATTAATTTTTTTATAAATCATATTATTAAATTTTATTATAAATTTTTATTTTTCATTTACTGTTAAAAAATATATTAGTAAATTATATATATTTAATAAGGACAAAGTTGATAACTTATTAAATTTTAAAATAAAATTAATAAGTTTTAAGATTATTCTTAATACTAGTGAAATATGTTGGAAGTGATTTATAAATAGAATTAGAGAAATAAATATGCTTCCAAATGTCTGATTGGTTTTTCTCCTCATTTTTTATTTTTAAAAATTATTTTACAGTACAGTTTTTAAAATAAAAGAAGATGAAAATTCGTTTAGTTGTTTTAATTTAAAAATAATTCTTAAAAATAAACTGATAATGAGTTATAGATAAGTGATTTATAATAAAAATTAGTCAAATTAACTGTAATTTTTAATAATAAAAGGTATTATATTTTAAAAACAATAAAATAAAATAAAAATAATTTAAATCTTTTTATATTTTTTGTTTTTAAGAATAAAAAATGAAAATAATTTAAAAAAAACTGAAAACAAATGAGCCCTAATTTGCTGATACTCTCTCCAATTCATTTTTCTTTTGATAAAATACTCTCTCTATAGAGTAGATTAAACCACTTCATCAACAAAAGTAGTCAATAATAATGGCCAATATTATTAGAATAGTAGGAATTGAAATCTAATGTTTTTACTAATAGGCTACTTAGATAATAGATATGGTCGTGCTTTTTTTTTTTTTTTGGTTGAAGAATATTGTCGTACTTCAATTGATAATTTGTGTCTTGAAGACGGGGTACGATGAAAGGAGCCTCTGTTTCTTGTTCTTGTTTTTCCTTTTTTTAAGTCTTGGTTATTGTTGTTCGTTTTTCATTAAATGACGTTTTCAATGTTTATTCAAAAAAAAAAGTATTATAAATAAATTAACATGTGCTCCCCTTAGTACACAATTTTCAGCATATATCAAGCACTTCTTCTTTGTTGAAATCATTTTTTTGTAGATCTGAAATAATACTTCCTCAATTATTCTTGACTGTTTGCTTTTGAGCCTTTTTGCTCTTGATTTAGAACTTTGCTCGAAATCTCTTTCATGATCATTCGAATTTGGGATATTTACATGTTTGGCATAATAAGGGAATTTGCTTCTGCTCAGCATGAATTCACTTATTTAATCAAGATGTTCTCATAAAAAACTTTAATAGCTATATAATTCAAAAATGTAGTCCTGAAAATTATGTTTTTCTCACATTTACTTTTCATAGTAGTTTTATTAATTATGTTTTAACATTAACCTTATTGTTACTTTTTCTTTTCTTTTCTTTTCTTTTTGTTAATATAACTGTCTTTTTACTAAAAAAAAAATATGTCAAGCACATTTAAAAAATTTCTTTTTTCTAAAACTTAAAAGAAATTTTGACTTATTTTTTCAGGTCTATCCCTGTTCATAGTTTTTTTTTAACAAAATCCCTGTTCATAGTTAACATACAATTTTTCATCTATGATTACCTAGTCCATGTTGACCAACATGTAGTAAAAAACATAAAGATGTTTTCTAAAATTACAAAATATCTCATTTTTTGAATCAACAATAACTTGTAAAAAAATATTTTTGCATTAGAGACTGGAGAGTGTTAATCATTATTAATTTCTTTAGTATAATATATCCCCATGCAACATACAATAATAATTTGGTCCATAATTTACAAAATTATGAAATTAAATTTTACTGTCAATAATTAAATATCTCTATAAATAATTCTTAAGTCTAAAGACATATATTGATTTGGGAGTTTTTAATATCCAACTCATATAAACTTTTCACTATCAAAAAGTAATTTAAAGAAATTATTTTTAGTGTGGTGCAACCCCATCCTTAAGTATAGCTTATGTTTATTTTTGCTCCAACCTTTTCTTTTGGGGATGTGTCTTTTTTTTTTTTTTTTTGAGTCAATCTTGTGGTCGTGTATACATTTTATCACTTTTCTAAAAAAAAGTTAATTTCGAAACACACACAACATAACCAATTAATAATCTTGCTTATAAAGAAGCAAAGTTTTACTTCCTCTATTTGTCAATCACATTTTTAAAAATTTACTTGGTCCTTTATGTAATTTATTTTCTCTTATTTTTTTTCATATACAAACATTTGATGTATAATTTAAAAGTATTTTTTAACAAATCATAAAAACAAGCAGACTATTTCAAATTTTTTAAAAAAACTCTTATTTTATTTTTCTGAATCTAAGAGTTAAAATTAAAAATTTATTTATTTTTAAGATAATTTTATTATTTTAAATTTTAACTAACTCAATTTAATTTTGATAAATTTAATAAAAATGATTTATAAGCAGAATAGGATAAGTATCTTACGGAGTCTCTAGTTTCAGTTAGCCGAGAAAAAGTGGCGGACTTGTGAATTCCCCTGAGAAAAAAGGTAGTTTAGTCAAAGAAAGTAAAGTGGCTTGTACTATAAATTAATAACTAATAAATTATGGAAGGGCAGAGGAGCGGCTGGAATGGGCTTTGAATTTGAGATTTTAAATAAGCGAAGGATTCGTTAGTGCCACCAAGGCGTGAACTCTTCCCAACCCATTCTTATACCATGTTTGGCAAGAATAAAAAAATGATGGGGAAAAAGTGAAAAAAATAGCTTTTTTTTTTTTTTTACTTGGCTAAGAAAAGTGAGAGAAAAATAATATGTATGACCCATATATTTTTATATCTAACTCTTCTCTTCAAATGTGAATAAATTTTGGAGAGAAAAATTTATTTTTAAATTTACCCATTAATTTTTTCATTATCATCTCTTACTTCCATCTTTTTTATCACAATGTCTGTAGTATAGATGTATTTTGATAATAGACTTTTATTTAACAAGTAATATATTTAATTTTTAGATTAATTGAAAAAATGCTAGTTATAAATTTTCAGCATAATTTCTAGCTAACTACTCCCTCTAGAACACAATATAAAGCATTTTTTAAAAATCTTACCTAATTCAAAATATAAGACATTTGATAACTTTTATATTTGCCTTTTCAACTATAAACCTACTCCATTCACTACTTTTTTTAAAAAAAAATGTATTAAAATCTTAATTATTGTTATTAAGTCTCTTATATATGGTATTTAATAAGGATATAACTAAAAAGATGTAGACATTTTTAAGAATTTAAGATTTTAATTAACCTTGTTCATAAATTATAAATTAATTAACTATGACTTTTATTGTGGTGTGAAGTGAGTATCTTATATTTGGTTGTAACTTCAAATTTTAAGATTATTATATATTTAATAATTTAATAAATAAAATTTTAAATTGGATGAAATAATTTGTAATTATTTTTTTCAATCAATAATATATGATAGAAATTAGTATATATAATATGTTAAAATATTATATTTTATTATATAAATATTTTTATAAATAATAAGGTTATTGTTGTTCATATAAAATTAATAACTTTTCTTTCTTTCTTATTTTCTTTCGTTCAACCGAGCACAATAAGATAAATTGGCATTCTTCAATTTTTCTTTTCTCTTTATTTTTTCTCTTTCTATTTTTTCCTGCAAGCAATGTTTTATAATTATT